ATAGCATGCTTACCATGAGGCTAATTGGTTATATGATATACCTGCCTGAATGCCTGTGGGTGAAAGTTAGGTTATTTGAATTGGAACAATTCATTAATTGTGAGTTTTAAAGCCCACTAGATAGTGGCAAAATCATGTTTTTTTTAAAGCCCACCCGAGGGTGGCAAATCCACGTCTTAGCCTACTTGCGGGTAGCACCATCAAACCATTTTCAAATAAACAAACATGAAATGTTTTGTTCCAATTCAGGCGACCCAGTCTATACTTGTATACTGTGCGCATCACGTAGTAAATCTAGGCTAATAACCGGAATAAGAACACATAATACTTTCAAAACTATATATCACGGTTAGTAGAGGCCGATCTTTGATCGGGCGAGTGGGGGTGCTCACGAAGTGACCTTCCCCAATCGTACCCAAGTTCCCGAGCCGAGGCAACTTTGGTGATGACGGACACATGGCCTTAGGCAACGAGTCAGGGTTTCCTAAATTTTCCAAAATAAAATATTTAGGTGGCGACTCTGTATCTGGCAAAGCAGTCCATGTTTGGCACTTCTTTCAAAAAAATCTGTTTTCAAAAATGATTAGCCGGATTTGGACTCTTTGATGATTCATCGGTCTTGCATTGCACTCTGCGAGATTAGATACAGGACCGTGACTTTGAGTCCTGAACTGTAGTGAGCCCAAATGAACAAAACGGGGAATTTCTCCCCGGGACATTCGGGGACGTCTACAATGATCGAGCTAACTGTTACCGCTCTGAGTATGGTGACCGAGCTAACTGCAGAGCTCTCTTGGACCGGGCTAACTGCAGAGTTTTTTTGGACCAAGCTACCTTCTAGGCCCTTTTACTTGGCCTCTCTTACAATGGCCCACAGATCGGCCCATTTACCCAGCTCAGCCCAATTTGCTTATAAATTACCCTCTCATATATATATGGTAGTTACATGTACTTTTTGTATTATATGATTGTTACAGGTTGTATAATTGAAATATCATTTGTTTTAAGTTCTTATATTTCAACATTGGTTTTCTTCTAAAATTTAAAGTAAATTACATCGGTAGTTCCTAAATGGTCACTTGTGTTGTACTGGTCCTTACACTTTCAATTAGCTCAATTTTAATCCTTAATATTTTAGATTTTTGTGTCAATTTCGTTTAATTGATAATGATGTTAGGATTTTTGACAAAAAATAATTACTAAGTTGGTTGATGTTAATTCAGTAAATTAATAAAATTTGTCCTCACGTGATACATGTCGCTCATATGCGTATTTTTCATAAATAAAATAAATCACAATTATAATGAATTGAATTAAATTGGGACAAAATAAAAAAAATATATAGTTAAAATCGAATTAATTAAAATTACATGAATTAAAATAACACAAAAACAAAATATAAAAATATTGGTACAATTTAACCAAAAATTTATAAGAACTAATGGTCACATGCTTGTGTTTCTATTTTTTTATTCGACAATGCTAGGTAGCTCAAATTTTTGTGGCTCAAATGGCTCAAATCTGTCAAAACGACGTCGTTTTGACAGATTTTGAGTGTAAAACGACGTCGTTTTGACAGATTTGAGCCATTTGAGCCACAAAAATTTGAGCTACCAAACATTTTCCTTTTTTATTTTTATTTTTTATATAGCTTCTCTTTCTTGCCTTAAACTCAGCCTAAATGTTGTTCACAGTAGTCTGGGTGTGATTCAAAAAATTTTTTTTTTAATAAGTTAAACGACGTGGTTCTGCTGTCACAGCATGGTGCTGACAGCACCTACCCTGTTTATGAAAAGAAATGTAGTTATGGTAATTCTATAATGGAAAATGTTTGAGGGTAATTCTATAATGGAAAATGTTTGAGGGTCATAATTTTTATGGTCACAACGACGTTGTTTTGACAGTTTTAAGTGATTGTGGCTATAAAAATTGTGACCCTCTAGCATTGTTGTTCTATAATCAACTTGGTAAATTGCAAACTGTCCTTGGTAATTATTTAACCCTATTTGATGATAATGTTTAATGATCACTTTTTAAATATTTGCATCAATTACACTATTTGGTGGACTTTGTCATAACCTTTTAATTGTAAAATGATTTGAACTTAAAAGGATATCTCCATGTATATAAATGCATAAATCATATAATAATTAGTGAAAATGGTATAGGTTCTAAATTTTTTATCAAATAAATGATTAAATGTCGCACAAAGATAAGTACCTGTAAGAAAAACTGAAATCATTTTGGCACTTGCTTTGTGAAGCTTGTTCTGCTTCCACACGCGTGCACACACATAAAAGACTTACAAACTGTTGAGAGAGAATGAAAAAAAAATAATAATAATAAAAAAAAAAAAAAAAGAAACAGTATAATGATAAGGTTTGGGTCATGGCACAACTTGTTCCTAATGATGAGCTCAGTTGTACCATTAAGACAGTATATCATCTACACTAATTGCCAAAAAGAGGGTTGAGGCAAGGTCCAGTGGGGTTCTATCTATGTTTTTTTTTTATTTTTCATTTTTTTTTATTGTTGTGATGTCAGTTGTAAGGCTAATTTTATTAGTCAAATGAATAGTATCAACTAAGAGTCAATTTTGTAGCATACAAGTCATGCACACATTAATGTAAGAAAAACGGATGGAATCGAGCCGGCCGATTGAAACCGATCAAAATTTTAGTTTTCGGTCTGTTTTTCATAACATACGATTTATTTCAATTTTGAAAATTTTATATTGATACAAACTGAACTGAATGAATATTATATTTAAATGCTTTTATATTATAGTTCCTTTAACATTATATGATAAGTAACTATTATAACAAACTTTTGTGATAAACACTAGGGAGAAAAACATTCATAGAACAATTTTCATACATTTTCTTCATTTATTTTCCATATAAAATTATAATCTACTATAAAACCCTCTAAAACCTCATGCAAATTTCTCTTCTACATCAAATCAACAAACTTGATAAAACCGAACCGTTGTATACGGGTATGTATTGGTTTCTCAACCATGAAAACCGAAAGTATTGGTTTAGAACTAAATATACCCTCAACAGCAACCGAGCCGTTTACACCCTTAATTGCAAGTAACATGGCTAGTTTGCTATTTTTTAGCTCGAAATAAATAAGAGTTAGTATTAATTGCTAGGCAATTTGCGTGTTATTTGACTGAAGATCACAGTCGAATTCAAGTGGATAGAAACCTGATATCCTCGTAAATTTAAGGTGATTTGGATAACAGAGGAGATAGGGTTAATGATTATGTTAGACAAATAGCAGCACATGCTTTCTTGAAGAAACATCTGTTCATTCAACTTGTACCTAAGATTTTTAAGGTTTTCTTGAATGTCCACTTGGAAATTCTACCACTCCGCTTATGCCTTATACTATGCCATCTAAGTTGGATCACTGGTCTCTCGACCCATATTTGGCAGGCAACTAATTAAGCTCTTTTACATTGCCTTGGAATTAAATCTACTAATGCGAATGTAATGGTTACTTCAAGTTTTCAAGACATGTTTGAAGTTATTGGCATTCATGATGATTACCCAGTATCCCTCTAGTTGTTGTATTGTGCTTTCTCTACTCAAGACTTTTTCTATTGTTTGATCACGGTTTTGGAGCCTTGTGGTTATAGTAAATTTGATGATTCTTTTTTGAGAAAAGTAAAAAAGCAATTATATTAAAATAAAAGTTAACATCATACGGAAGAAAGAAGAAAGCGACGAAGGACCAAACAAGAAAACCTAACTACAACAACAAACAACAAAATCGGCCAATAAATTAGCAACAATAAGGAAAAACTACTAATCTATTTGTAGATGTAGTTTGGAAAATAAGATCTACAACTAAAAAGAACCCAGCCCCGCCGTCGCCATCGACGTTGTCCTTGCCGCCACTTTGCCTCTGCTGCCTGTGTCTTCTTGTAGGTCGGTCACCATCGAAGGCTAGCGTGGAAGAATATGAACACCCACAACAGTAAGGGAGGATGATTGAAAGATGGGACCATTGTAAGGGTTGAAAATTTAAAATTTTATGCTAGAAATGGGGAGAGAAACTCTCAAATCTACACTTTGGAAGTGTTTTTACATATAGCCGGAGGTCACTAGAAAGTTGCCGGTGCGCCAAAAATCTCCAGAGCGGTGAAGTAAATTTAATGATTCTTGTTGGTATAGCATTACAACAACGTTTGGCATCATAGTCGTGTAAGGAGATATCTCACATCTAGAGACTATCCTAGTCCAAGGGAACCGCTTATGTTGTTGAGGAAATTCCATGAACACCTTACTGGAGTTTGTATATCTTCCCTCGCTAGTTTCATGAGATCTGGAAACCTCATCTGTCAATCTAACATTGGATTCATCCATATGTATTCATTGCATATGCTCAACCCTTACATAGTTTTTATCAAATATAGTTGGACGTAAAATATCTGTATGCTGTCTACCATCCCCATTTTTTTTAGTTTGGAACATCTTGTATATGACGCTTTCATAGCTGTGCTCAGAGTATTTACTGAACTCATGTACTCAGCTGGTCCAACAGTATTTCATAAGAAAAAATCCTAAATGAAATCTCAATTTTACAAGTAGCAATGACAACATCCCTGTTAACATCTATTGGCATACAATAGCTCACAAATTAAATTTGAAAGGTGTTGAACAAAGCAACAAATTAGACACTTGCCTGAGCAAAATTGTCGGGCCTATTTGGTACAGTTTTTTGTAAGCTAAACGTTAATAATAAAAAATCAGAAGCAAAAAATACCTATACTTCCAGATAGTGAGCTATTTTCAGCTTATTTAAACTATTTTTCTTACTAAGCTATTAGTAGAAATTGCACTAATCATTTTGACTCATACTTTCAACCAAAAAAAAAAAGTAGACCAGAAAAAGCTCATTTAAGTCACACCAAGAATAGAGATATTATAAACCACGGGTATGCCTATAGAATGGAGTAAACACAAAAACAGGAAAAGATGCATGACTGCAAACGAAATTTCCATTTTATTATAAGTCCATTGAAGCCAATGCCAATGCCAATGCCTGATAGAAATAGAAACAAACCACAAGTATAACACATAATGGAGAAGTAAAAAAAAAAAAAAACTCCTAAAAATCCTCAAGATTCTTCTTTTCTAAGATTATGGGCATTTCTTTCAGCATAGAGCTTTTGTTCCCGAGCTTTCTTTGCAGCAAGCTCTTCCTCATCCAGTACTTGGATGGGTGACCATTCTGGCAATCTCAGCCAACCACCATTCTTCCCTGAACTGTCAGTGCTCCCTATTATAGATTCATGGAAGCTCTTCAGGGAAGGTTTGAGTTTAAGAGCAGCAAAATCTACCATTGTTCCTACAACAGCAAAGATGATTGAATAACGGATAGCACCGGCTTGACCACCTGAAAAATCACGGAAAAGTAAGGTTTACTACTGCAAGAAATAGAGAAACAAGAAACAAGATAAACCTTAGCGACCATTCATTTTTGAAATTTTACAAGAACCAAACATGTATTATGCAGATCAAACACTAATGCACATCATCAAAAGCATCCTAGTTCCCAAATTAATATACTGAATGAAAGGACCAATTAACCCAGCGATGAGCTTGATATCAGATCAAAGAGAAATCCAATTGAAAGCTTTTAATTTCTATTAACAATAACAAGGAAGAGTAAGTTCGCATTATTAGGAAAGGGCTCTGTTACTTTTAGGTTGTGTTTGGATCTTGGCTTTAGGTAGGGAATTGTAGAGGGAAAAGAAAATGAGAGGAAAAATGTGAATGAAATGTAAACAATTTTTTTTTCACATCTCCCCCTTTTTTTTCCTTCCTTCCTTCTACAAATCCCTACCTAAATCCAAGATCCAAACAAAACCTTAAAAGATAATAAAGGAACATAGGGATTTAACTGAACTTGAAGTCTTGAACAATTCCTGGAAATCAGCATACTATAACACACTATGTTTGGGTCTTCAATATATGAATGGATATTAAATTTCTTGAACAATAGCATATTTTTTGGTAACCAACCAAAACATGGATTTTTTTGACAGTTGTCCATTCATTTTCTTCTCATTGTCCTAACCAACCACCGAAAACAATTTTCATTCACTTTATTTCCTTTCCCTTTCTTTTTCCTTTCCCTATGAGCTAAGAGGCCCGACGTGGCAAAGGAATCATTGCTAATCCTTTTGTAGATGCGCGCAACATGGATGTGGTACAAGAATGTGGAATGCAGGGCAAACAGCAGTATTATACGATATTATTACTGACTGAGGTTTTTTTCATTCCAACAAGCTATTGACTCTGGGTTTGGTGCAGCTAATGCCATCAATTGAGCACCTAAAGGATGAGGCACCCAGATCACAAAAGATGAGAAGATAAGGACCGGTTTCGACACACTAAAGCATAAACCTAGCAATGGCCTAACAGTGACAAGACATGGCAAACCACAAAGTAAGGTTAATAGACAAAAGGTTTTATCCTAAAATCAAATCAACACATGAAGTTATTCCATTATTGGAAAAGCAAAACAGACAAAGCAATTAGCCAAGATGCATCTGGAAAGAAAAAGAATTTTCCCATACTAGAACTGACTAATTCTGATCCATTTGGGGAAATTCAATTGTGTTTCTAGTGGAAAAACAAACCAGCATGACCATGCTACTGGCTTCAATTGTAGAATAAGTATCAACCATCTATTGCTCGGCAGGACTGTACATAATGCTTGCAAAAATGATTGATCTAGCTATGAAAACAGCCAACCTGAACTTCCATCAGAAGTTATTCGTGAAAGGGCGATAGAGTGGCTGTTTTTATGATAGAAACCGTCACAAGCACAGCGCAAAATATATATATATACACATTTCAAATGGCAAGAGGCCAAAAATTGGATGGCCCTTAACCTACTCTGTTATGCCTTGTTTGATGCTTGCGGAGAGAGGAACAACAGTATTTTGACGGGAAGGAGAGTTCATTGTGTGATTTGAAACACTGTTAGCATCCTTGGTTTTCTGGCTCAGGGATGACTTGCCTTTGGTAGAGTTTTTGGGGAGTAGTACATTCCTACATATATATATATACGTTCTTTCGATTGCTTTTTGTTATACATCCTATATATAAGGTTACACCCCTTCTTGTGCTTTTCTTTTATAATATACACATTTAAGCCCCCGAAACTATGCTTGCTACCTTTGTAATCATTGTTATTTGATTATTCTAATGAATTTTCGTGTTGTGTAGGTTATTTGGGTCCTTGCGATGAAAGCGAGTAATAAAGGACCAAAGTGTCGGGCAAACGAAGCAAGGAAAGTCAAAGCTAGATTTGAGCGTGTCAAGTTGTGCTTGGGTGCACCTCATAGCGCACACCTGCACAAGTAAAGTATTTTGTCTAGGTGAGCCCGCACGCACACCCTGCAAAATAGAGCTCTGTGTGAGCCCGGGTGCACAATGCGAAAAGAAGTTCGAAAAAGTGAGTTTTTATACTTTTTTTGAGCCCATTCCAACCCTAATTGCTATGAGAGTATAAAAGGATGACTTAGCCTTTAGAAAAAGGAATTCTTCACATATCAAAATATAGCACAAGCAGCAGGAGGAAGGAAACTCAAGGTTCCAATGATGGAGTTCTCCACATCCATGACATCCTTCACCTTCTCCATGGGAACTAATCTTCTTTCTTAGGGTCTAAATGAAGCCCTAGTTAAGTAACCTTATTTTGTCATATTTTACTTTGGGATCGACGATTACAATGATTGTATAACTTTGAGAAATTTTTTTATTTATCGAATTCATTTTCCAATTATGTTTGATGTATTTAATTTATGTTTTTACGAAATTTCATGAGTCGGGGATTGTCAATATGAGTTCAAATGATACATTTATATGTTTAATCCCTAATAAAGTGAATGTTGTGAGAGTTGGTGATTTTAGGCCCATCAGTTTGGTTACATCACCTTACAAGATTTTGGAAAAAGTCCTATCAAAAAGGCTGAGGACATCTTTGAGGGATACAGTGTCTAAGGCACAAAGGGCTTTTGTGAAATGAAGATAGATTTTAGATGTGGCCCTAGTGGCAAATGAGGTGGTGAAGGAATTTAAAAGTCAAGGGAAGGAGGGACTTATTTTTCAAGTTGATTTTGAGAAAGCATATGATCATGTAAATCGGTAGTTTTTGGATTTCGTAATGGATAGGAAGGGTTATGGTGAGCGGTGGAGATCTTAGATTAGGGGATGTTTGTCGATTTGTAATATGTCAGTTTTAGTTGATGAAAAACCGGTGAAAGTTTCAAGGCTTCACAAGAATTGAGACAAGGGAATCCATCATCACCTTTTCTTTTTATTTTGGTGGCTGATGTGTTAGGAAGGATGGTTGATGTTAGAATAGTATATTATTAGTTGGGTTATTATTTGATTATAATTATTCTATGCCTTAGGACTCCCTTGTAATTATTAATCTACATTAATATAAAAAAGGGATGATATCACAATCATTCCCTAATCCTTTTTCTCCTCTCTAAACCTACATGGAATCAGAGCCAACATACCTCATAGCCACCCTAGCCTCAGCCGACAACCTTCTCCCATCACCCACCCCAGTCGTTAGCCCTACAATCCACCCAACACTAGTCGGCACCTCTTCTCCCTTTTCTGACCTAACTTGGCTGATTTCAGGCCACACCCATGTCATTCTAGGGGTCGCAGCTCACCAGCAGTGCTTGGGTCAGATTTACGACTCACCCTCTACTATCCTCTAGGCCTGTCGGTAGCCCTAGATTACTCTTCTAGGTCTATCAACTCTCCTGGCCATCTCATAGAACACTTCCGACCAACTCCTTACGCAATCCGACTCCTGTATCGACGGGTATGACCCTGATGACCTACACTCTCATTGTTTAGTCTGTACTATAACCTTATTCTCTGTTTTCAAAAAAAAAATGCCCTAAAAAAAAAATGCTAATGAGTTTTTAATTCTTTAATTTTCTTAGTGGTCATCGTGCTTATATTCCTCCACCTTCCGGGTTTGCGACTGACACTAGTTTTGTTAAGGGTTCGATAGTACAGTATTCATGGCAGATTCCACCAGTGTGTCTACTACTTCTCAGATACCTCAGAGTGAGTTCCATTATACCTAGTACTATGACTGATAACCCTAACCCTAGTCTTAAAATTACCACCTCTCTATTTAATGGTCAGAACTATCTAACGTGGTCGCAAAGTTTGACTATTTTTTTGAAGAACAAATCGAAGATGGGGTATGTTGATGTCAAAATAAAGGCACCTAACACTATTGACCCGGGTTATGACCAATGGGAGATTACCAACTCTTTGATTATGGGTTGGCTTATCCATTCGATGGTACCAAAAATTGGTGAGGACTACTTGTCTATGGAGACTGCCCAAGATATTTGGGATATTGTGGTTGCCACCTATTTCCACAAAGGGAATTTCTCACAGGAATTTGAGTTGCGCCGCTCTATTGAGAGCTCTGTTCAGGGGGAGCAGATTGTTTTCCAGTACTTCACCTTCCTCACCAACGGCTGGAAACGCCTTGACCACCTGCAGGAACATAAGCCTGTTTGCATTGCTGATTCAGTCGAGTACAGGAAATTCATTGCACAGGAAAGGGTCTTCAAATTTCTGGCCAGTCTCAATATGATGTATGATTCGGTTTGGAGTCCGGTTCTGGGTATGAACACCCTTCCTTCACTTTAGGAGGCATTCGCCTATGTACAGAATGAGGAGAATCGTTAGTCTACTATGATATCACCTGTCGCTACTGACTATTCAGCATTACTGTTTACCCCTAGAGATGGCCTTGGCTTGACTCCCATCCCTCCGTCTGCCGCCACGGAGTCTGTATTTTGTGATTACTGTGGCAAGCCGCGACATACTCGTGAGACATGTTGAAAGCTTCATGGGACTCCATTTGAGGATCGAGGTGATCGGTCTGGTTCTAGAGGAGGTCGGTCAGGCCAGTCTAGAGGGCGTGGCTCTCAGCCACGGGCTTATCAGTCTAGTGCTGTTGATACACTTGATTCTACTTCCGCTTCCATTGGCCAAGCATCTTATTGTCTCTCTGGAATGACTACTCATGAGCTTGAGGATGTTCTGCGTCACTTGCTGGACCGCCGGTCTTCTACTGCTCTTAGTACATCTTCCTCGTCATTTGCCCGCTCAAGTAACTTAGCCTCTTCTCCTCGTGTTTTCCTTTCTCATAAGTCTTTGCCCTGAATTATCGATTATGGTGCCTCAAATCATATGTCTAGATCCTCTAACCTTTTCTCTGCATATAAGCCCCCTTTAGTCTAGGACGAAGTTAGAATTGCAGATGGTACTGTTTCTTCTATTTCTGGGAAAGGTTTAGTCCATGTCACTCCTACCATACCTCTCTCTTCTGTTCTC